ATGGCTATTCCGTACACCCTTTGACGGTGGATTGTGTTGTCTCACAATCTGGCGAGCGATATGATGTAGTGTTACACGCAAAACCTAATTTTAGTATGTTTGTTTACAATTTTATGATTTGGTTCCCAACTTGTGAATCACAAGTCAATAATTTTGATGTTTCAATTAAAATTCGTAGATGAAACGTTGATCATTGTTCGTGGTTTGGGTTCATGCATAAAATTGGAATTACAAGAATTCGCCCGAATCATTTTCGTTGATGATTACTCCACTTTTTCATCAAAAGTCGAAGATCATGAACCGTTGGCTATACGACCGAACTATACCTCATTCGAAAATCCTTGGAAGTCTGTAAGTTTTATTTTTACAATTTTTGATGAAAACAGAAAAAGATAATTCAATCATTTCTTCTTACTTTAGACTTTGAATCATCCGCAAACGAATTGCGCTGATCCGAATTCAAACAGCTATTGCGTTGCTGCCCTAGAATCGAAGAATATATATCCTCCAATTGGAGGAAGTTTGAGAAATGAACCTGTTGAAAAAGTTATTCCATTCGAATTCCGAGTCAGAGCTGTTTTTGACCGGCCAAGCCATTATTTTAGTATGTTCAATATTCACTGAATGTGTATGAAATTCAATATTCACTCAAAGTGTATGAAATTACCGAAAACAATATTTTTCTTTGAATTTTCAGCTGCTGGCGATTTAGCTGCTGTGGGTATGATAAATAACATATCGTCTGCACACCCACCATTTCCATTGCTCACTGAAGACGATTCGAATGTTTCCTTTTGTAATGCGAATAATCTGCCGTCGAATTGTGGTAAAAACTCGATTTGCCATTGTAATCACCTGGTTGAATTGAAGTTATGCAAAAATTATGAATTCTTTTTGACTGATAGCGGAAGTAAGAATTTCGATACAAAAAACCATAATTTTATACATTTCATTTATATCCTGAATATTGTTCTATCTAGCACCCGGTGGTGCTGTAAGTCATCCGATTCATTTACATGGCGTTGGATTTCAGGTGATCGATATGGGAACCCGTCAACAGTATGCAAATGGGCAAACTGGATTTAGAAATTCAACCAAATTACCGGTTGTCAAAGATACCGTTATCGTTCCCAGCGGTGGTTTCGTTCGACTGCGCTTCAAATCTTGCAATCCAGGCTATTGGTTCTTCCACTGTCACTTTGAATATCACATGCACGTCGGCATGCTAGCTATTATCAAAGTTGGTAACAAAACAGACATGATACCGCCGCCGCCCAATTTTCCAAAATGCGGCGATTACTTACCGCCAGTATATTGAGAATACTATGCCATTGATTCAACCATCTCAATGCATCAGTTTCTTGATTTATCAAATAAGCAAAAAATAAAACGCATACTCGTACATAGATTTAATCTCTCTGTATTTTGTTACTACATATAAATACATGATACATGTCAACAACATTTATCTGGTTTTTTTTTCGATCTTTTACTTTTGGTGAATTTTCTTTAACATAATATCTATTTACACGGATCATGAGTCCCTTTATCATTTTTCTTTTGGTTTGCTTTCAGTTGCGATGGCAGCATGATGCAATGAATGCTAAAAATTGAACTAAAAGCTCAAAATAATGGCAAAATACACTATTTCCTCTCCCATTGTTATTGCATTCAAGGTTCATGACAGATATATCGAGGAGATACAACTATATATTAGCAAAGACATATGCAGCTCCAAAATATGAGCCACACTGAACATAGAGAGCGAGAGATAGATTGTGGGAAGTGATGATTTTCATTTTATACTTTGTTTTAAATTGGATATACAAGTGAGTTAGACTAGAATTACATTTTAATAGCTCATATTTTATAACTATATAATCTCCAGTATCTTCTTTGTTATTTTTCTTCTTCGTCTTTTAAATATGAAAGATTGTGTGTTTTGTCTATATGAAAGCCGCAAGCTCAATGTGTAGTAATTGTTGTGTTTTGTTTGTGTATGTGTGTGTGTGTGTGCTATCTTCGTTGATTTGCAAAGTAAAGGGAGAGCGATAAATGTGAAAGGGAGCAAATTCTAGTTGTTGTTACGTGTTAAGCTTAATCCTATCATCAGATTCATATCATTTGTTTACTGTTGCTGATGCTGTTGTTATTATTGTGTGTGTGTGTGTCTGTGTAGAGGACTCCTAGCTGGGCGGCAATTCTTTCGCTTACTTAATCATAACATCATTATCTATACGTAATCATACGTCATGTGTTTAAGCTAAATGGTATTTTCTCTCCAATGTTAAAGTTTAGTTTTAAAACATATTTATTTCTCTTCATGAATTGCATGAACATTGAGATATATTACTTTATAAATATACTTTTAAGCACAAGAATGGATGCAACTTTCAAAGTTGTAATGCATCCATCTAATTTCCTCTGTGTGTGTGTGTGTTGTACATCGCAAAATTTTCTGCAGATGTTTTGCCAGAAGCATATCTAAGACTTTAAATTGAATGTGGCGTTGTCAAAGAACATTGTCTTTGTGGATCACTTGTCGTTTTCAAAACTGAAATTTACAATGTATTCTTTTGTCTATGTTTGTCTTTGTTGAAAGAGAATATGTTGGCCTTATCCCAAATTAAAACATTTTATTTTGTTTTATCTTCTTTTTTTGTGTGAACACAAAAGTTCTTTTTTCTTTGGCAATTTTTTTGTTGCTTTGTCCAAAAAAATCCATACATGGTAACAATAAATTTGTGTGTGTGTCTGTGTTTTTGACACTGTTTCCCTATTATAATCATAATAATAATGAACTATTTATATTTGTGCATCAGATGCGAAATATATTTTCTGATAATTAAGTTAATTAGTTAACAGCGCTTCTTTATGTTTTGTATTTGTAATGTACATGTTATCAAATAATTTTTTTTTCATTTTTAATATAAACACTTAAAATAATTCGGTCGATTAAAAATATAAGCTTGAAATATTACAAAATTAATATACTTTAATAACATAAATGGATACAGCGGAATAAATGAACAAACGAAAAATAATCGATGAAATCGCAATTATTTTTTCGTCAAACAAACGTGATGGAAGCAACAAAATAGCATTTGCATGCAAATAGGATCGGTTACCGTAAGGTAGATCGATTTTTAAAGTCAATACACGGAACTAACATACCAATCCAGGTGACATGCCTTAATCGACAGAGAATGACTATACTAGGAATTCTTGTTCCACAACATTAGCGTTTGAGGCTATTCACAGGTTGTACGAGATGATTTTGTGTGTGAAAATTGTCAATTGGTTACTCTTCCATTCGAAGAGTCTTGCAGAAATCTATGATTGAACTCAAGTTTGTAATTCATCACATTCCAGCGGTCAAAATGGGGTGGAGTGGCTAGAAATAAGATTTTAACAGACTTTTTACTCAATTTACACTGTGCATGTTGGGATGTGATGAATTGCGAACTTGAGATCAAACTCAAATTCTCTAGAGAACAACGAATTGATAATTTGCATGCACAAAATCGACTCGGGCAATTCCAGAATAACCAAAACCTCTGAGCCAAAAATTTCTTGCAAGCTACCCAGTTCATCGATTAAAGTAGGATTTAATAAGTTCACTACAACATATTTTACTAAAAATCGATTCACCCTAAATCCACGCCCACATATTTAATTTTGGCAAATAGCTTAAATCATGTGTGATGTATTGCAATTTAAAAAAAAAATTGCCGGAAAATGAAACGAAAAATGGTAATGCGTGAGAAGAAACTATATAATTCATAATAATTAAATTAAAAAGACAATTACATATGACCTAGTTTTTTCCCTTTGTTGACAGAATCAATGTTACATACAACTAGTTCAAGTGCTCTTATATAACTCTATGTACAAATTGATTTAAAAAAAAAATTATTATTTTTTAGCTATTAGTTGTGTTTTTTTTCTCAATTCTATTCCTTTTTTTCGGTAAATTAACTAAATGGTATTTACCAATACAAATTGCTTTGAGGTTGTGGAAAACTGGATTTTAAATATGGATAAAAACTTTTTATCTTTTGGCATTAAACGCACATCAATCAGGAATACAACCAAAAGTCTGCTTCTACTATAATATGTGTTGGGAAATTATGTGGGAATATGATTTTAAATTGATTGAAAAGCAAAAAAAAAAACTTTAATCAAAATCCAGCCACACGGATTCCCGATGAAATCCATTAACCAGAAACCGATAAAACCAAACACAAATTCACTAAATACCAAAAGAGAAACATTGGCTCGTGTCACAAAAGCTATTTATAAATGGAATAAGCTTTTCATTGTGTTCCTGTTTATGTTGTGTAGATATTTTTTCCCCTTGCACCCGTCTTCATTTTGGCTTCAGTTCATCATGTTCTTTTTTTACTTGCGATTTAGAATCAAATACGCAAATTTCTATTTTGACAAAATAGAATGAAACGATTAAATTTACTATACAAGTGTTTTTTTTTTTGTTATTTTGTTTCTTTAGCATTTATTACAATTATTATAGATTTATTAAATCAAAATTCATGCGACGCGTTGTATGTTGATTGAATCTCATATTTCATACGTTGGCATATTTGATGCTCATCCGTGTTGAATTCGTCTCCTCTCTTGTTACCGTGTATATATATATATATATATATATATTGTGTGTGTTTGTTTGTTGTTGTTTTTTTCTGTTTGTCTGCTAGTTGGGTTTTGCTTTGTTAATTAGGATAAATGAGGTGTCACAATAAATTTATGTTACTCTATATACTGGTGCACGCTTTCACTTTTTCTTCTTCTTCTTCTTCTTCTTCTTCTTCCATTTTCTCGGTGGTAAACTGAGCATTTTTCTCAATTAATTGCACGCATTCACGTCAATAATAATAAAATGCTCTACACACACATGTTGATGCATGCATACCAGATAATATGTGCTAAACATGTTTTCTTTTTGGTTCTGTCATTCTTCGTTAGAGAGGGAGAGAGAGAGATGATAATTAATTATAGATTCCTGATGTTACTTTGGATGTTGAAAGTGCGGATGGTTCGCCACCAGTTTCCGTTGGTCCTTCGACACTGCACACTGAATCTTCAGGTGTTCGTGATGGTTCGGCTTCGGTCATTTCGGTATCCTGTGCATGATGACGATGGCTTCGATGTTTTGCACTTAACGCCTGTTCGTGCAAAATTCAACGCGCAACAGAGCCGACACAGACGCGGTTTGTAGGACAGAACAGGAAGAGAAAAAGTACATAATCATAAAATAAATGACAAATATTGTTCGGAGGGTGTTTTAAATGGCCAAAAAATATGTTGGCGCGCACGTAAAACGAACACAAATTGAAGCAACATATTTTTGTGTAATTCAGTTGACTGTTATTGTTTGCATTGCGCTTATCACAGCAAAAAAACGGAAAAATAAACGTATATTTAACAAGAAAACCCAATATACAAACAAATATGAAAGCGCTAGAACATGTGTGTACCGTATATTGTATGTATGTATGTGTGTAAATGTGTGTGTGTGTGTGTGTACTTTTGAGTGATAAATCAAAGGCGTGAGAGAGAGAGAGACAAGCAGAGAATATCCTTGTACGAAGTATGTAGCATGTTGAAATTTCAGATGATAAAAGCCAAAAAAGCTGACACAAATAATATACCAATAAAAATACAAAATGACGATATATATTCACAGAAAATGCATTTGAATTTGTTTCTTTTCTTCTGTTCTTCATTGTCAAATGTTCATACACGTAAAATAACGGTTACCCAAAATACCGATAAAAGTTATAGACAAAAGAAAACCGAAAACGATAAGAAGATACAGATGGTCGATATGGCTGTATGTATAGAAGTGAAAACTGAGAGCATGAAATTGAGATAGCAAGAGAGAGAATATGAGAGAGATAAAGAAAAAGAGTGAGAGAATCAAAGAACGATTTATAGTTTGAATACAGACAAATTGTATCAAATAAATATAGCACAAGAACACATAAAAAGAAACGAACAAGAGAAACAAAGAGATTTTGGCTATGACAACGGCAAAACGGTTCTGTTCACAAAACCGAAGACCGATTGCGAAGATTGCGAAGATTGCGTATTGTGTTGCCAAAGGATAGGTCTTATCCGGGTTTTTTTTGTCCATCGTCATCGCTTGAAAATTTTCGATTATCTTTTGCTGGACTACCAATAACGAACGAACGAACGAAAACAAATGCAAATTGGTTATTGTATGCTGGATGAATTGTTTCTATAACAGAGAGTTAGTAGTCAGAGTCTGTATGCCTTTTTCACATTCCATACAGCCGAAACGTTGTGTGTGAGTGGGTCGCATTTGGCGGACGAGGGAGTAGGACTATGGCACATACAGACTATATGTATATATTTAGACGGAATGGTCCAAATGTTGGTATAAAATAACCCATTTTTTACATTTATATAGATTTTTCTTTCGATTACGAATGTATCTATTATTTTGTCAACACGAGTTATAAGGGAGCGTGTGTGCGAGTATGAGTCATGAGGCTTTATTTGCTTATTTTATTTTTGTACATATGTTATTATGTGGGCTTTGGAAGGATTGCTTCCAGAGAAGGAAAAACAAGTAGAAAAATAAAAATAAAATGTTTTTGAAGCAAAACACAAGACTGAAGAGATTTAAAAAGCAAAATCAAAATTATTTTGGCAATTTACGCTCCATGTACTCTAATCAGATTGTGCCCTTGTTGTTGGCACAGAGATAAACCCACCCGATTTTCACTGGTTTGTTTTTTGCCAACTGGCAAAACAGTTTCAAGCTGTGTGTATGCATGAGTATGCCACACATATATCTCTGGCTATAAATCGAAACGAAAACAGATTGCAAATCAGGTCTTGTTATTTTACACAGAAATACTAGCAAACCGATTATCTGGATATTTGTAGTCAGTGGAACAACACACGCACAACGGGCGCCTACTTTCAATTGTGTAGATGAATATCGGACTAAAAATATCCATACTCTAGCTCATCTTCCTATGCAACTAACAGAATATCAACGATATGCAAAAAGTTTTACGTTTCCTGTTTGCTATAGATAGCAAGTAAATCTACTACTCGAGAGAGAGAAAGGCTTGAAATCAGATTAAAGTTCATGAAACTTATGAGTGCGCTATATCTTGCAGCGAAGGAAATAAAAAGCGCAGCAAAAAAAAGGCGATATCAAAATAAAATATGAAAAGAGAAAAAAGCGTTTGCGATCTACAATTGCTTACCTTGTCACGACTTCCCTTTTTCTATAACATTCATTTTTAACGAATCGACATAGAGTAGGAGAGTCACAGTATTGGTTTTATTTATTCGTGTGTGTGTGTATGGATTGCAACAATGTTTTTTTTCGAAACGTTTTTTTGTGGTTTTGTTTTCGGTATTGAGCGGTTCGTATAGAGGTTTTTTTTTGTATGGTTTGTTTTCATTTTCGGTGGGTATTATTTTGTATGTTTTTTTTAATATAGTGATGAGTATTGATGGGACAAAAATATTAATGAAATATTAATTAAATTCAGCTCTATTCAGAATGATAAAGAATACACTTGTCTAGGTAAAAAAAAAGTAGTTTTTTTCGGTTGTTTTCAAATATATCGGAAATATCTATCTAAAGTGTCTAAAGTACTAAAAACAACAAAGTTGGAGCACACTGCCACACATGACAAAGCTTCAAAAATGGCCAATCAACTAATGGGAACAATGGATTTGCATTTTCATTGGAGTTTTGCAATTTCATGATGATGATAATGGTGGTGGTGGTGATTTTCGACCGACGTCGAACGATTCTCGTTTTCGAAACGGGTCGTAAATGGTAAAGGATGTTTGGTTTACAACGGGAAAGAAATAAAATTTACAAATGCGTTTTAATGGTGGTCTCTCAAATGCGATCAAAATTTTTACGGGTTAATTTATTGAAGTAAAACGAAATGTATATCGACAAACAGTTGCGACGAAGAACGCAAAAAGGATTTAATTTAATGGTTTAAAAATGGATTTCACAATCAATTAATTTAATTTCCGTGGTCGGTGGTGGGGAGAACATGTGCTTTTCTGGCAGTGGAATGTAAGGGAGGGATCTATCAATAAAAATGTGATCCGACGACGCGGAAACGAAAATCAACATTTTTATGATGATTATTTACATTATGGTTGCGTTTTTGTTTTTGTTTTTTGGACAGGAGGTTGTGTGTATGTGTGTGTGTGTGAAACACACTCTGAAATTCAATACTAATGACATGTAATTAGGTGACGCCTTAATAGCATGCAATGAGCATAGAATTTTCAATATACAATGAAAAATTGGATGACAAAAGAACCATTAAAATTTGGTTCTTCTTCGCACTCAAACACACTCATTCACACAAACTTTGGCTATTCGCACTCGACACACAACACACAGCATAGCAAACAAACTGAATTTCAACGAAAAAAAGAAGCTCGAACACTTTCTTTCTCACAGCAACGCGAGAGAGAAGAAAACACGATAACGGATTTGTTGAGCGTTCCAGTGACAACCAACATTACCAATGAACACCGTGGACAACATCAAACAATTGATTACATTAAGCACAACCATTGAATTTTCTACAGTTTCTAGATTCAAATTTCGTATCTTTTTTTTTACTTCGAAAAATACTTTTACTTTAATTGTACAGACACAATAAATTACCTGCAAAGAAAATCTTCGATGTGCCGGCTTTCGGCCGCCTCGACGCTTACTAATATGTGGATTATCTTGTCGGAGTGTTTTATTCTTCAGTACTTCGAGTTGTGTGTACAGTCTGATGCAAGAATAGCGACAAAAACGAATGGCAGCAAGCAGCGACAGCAGCAAATCCGCACGAAAACGAAAATCACCGACAAATGTTAGATTAAGTGGAAACGAAAGCAAATTCAAACGTACAAATTTAATCAATGAACTTCAAAGCGAAAGAAAAGTGAGCCGAGATTTAGCCCTCACTCTTCTCGCTTCGCTCGCACGCTCACTGGCTTTGTTTATAACAAACCAAGTGAAGAGATAACGAAAATTAAATGCGAACAAGAAAAATACCTTTTTAATTCAGCTCGTATATCTTCTGGACTCATTTCGGATATCGTCAGTTCGCCAATGTCTGGATCACCGATGTAAATACCAGCATAAGCACCACCGTGATGTGACGCATCATGAGCACCCTATCAATTCATATTGATATCGATTGAATGTTATGTAAGGAATGTGTTGGCACATCGCTGGAATCACTCCCCACCCAAAATCAAACGAACGAACAAATGGAAAATTCAAATGATTTCGTAAACAATTTAATCTATTCACCGTTGGTTCATTCAGTTCGAGATTGAGCAGCGGGCGGGCGGGCGTTCTAGCTGTCGTGTGGACGAAAAATGTAGGGCAAAATAATCGTACAAACCTGCTTATGTTGATACCAAAGCTTTGGCAAAAATATCAGACCCATTGTGATTGTGTTGGTGAATTGAGAACGTAGAAAAAGTATTAAAAATATTGTGCCCGGACCCCATGAATTCAGATAAATTGCGCGCAAAATGTAAAAGTTCACCGAAACAATAAATTCAGCTGAAATCGATGCAACGAGAAATTGTCTTTCCTGTGAAGAACGAAAAAAAAGAGAAACAAGAAGGGAGAAGAAAGCGAGGAAGCAAAGAAAAACAACGAAAGAGGATTGAGTGAGTGACATTTCAATTTAGAGAGAATTTTTGCCTTTCGCATGTGAATTTTTCAAAGAGAAAAACAAAACAAGAGCGAAAAAGAACAAAAAACACTTGCACTTACCCGAAATTGTGTGTTTGCATTGCGACTGGCAATGGCCAAGTGTAAACCGAATGCTAGTATTAATATTTCACTAAATTGCGTCACAAATTCCCATTTCATTTGTTGACATGTATTTGTTTGCACCTCCTGTAGACCTTCGAGTGCGGCCGTCTGTATGAGATCCATTGATGATGCGGTGAACGCTGACATATAACAAACAACGGCAAATATCATCGATGACAAATATTTCAGTAGATCGATGTCGCGCAACACCCAACGATGCGCTTTTCGCGTACGAAATTCAACTAAGTGACGATATAATTTTAATATGATTGCACCGTAGCACACGATGAAGCCAAGCTCACGGAACCATGGCTCAAGCAGGCAACGTACAGTCGATGCAGGGAAGAAATGTAGACCAACCTATAAAATGCAAACATGTATGCACACTGTTGAATTTTATTTTTTTAATATTTATGAGGCGAACAGTTCAGCAGTTCAGTTTAATGGAAAATCACTACGTTTTTAATTGAATTTTGTGCATATATTTATTTTTTCAATTCAAATTCACTCACCGAGGAGTACATTAACAAAATTCCTAATAAAATTATTTCTAAAACGGTCCACATGCCGCTCGAGATGGTCTGGCAGAAAGAGGAAATTAAAATTTATAATTAATCTGATTAATTTATTAAATAAATTCGCTAGAGCATCAGTTTGGCTCTCTTATCTCTTGTTCGTTCGCCTGCTCTGTGCGAATGTGCAACACCGCAAAGATGTCGAGCACATTCTTGCTAATTAGCACAGTGAGTGCATGGCAAAACGAGAGCGAGAGCGAGAGCAAGAGAAAACGAAATAAAAAGAACCACTTATTACCTTGCATTTTCTTTGTCGGAACACAATAATGGCTAAAATTAAGCAGCTGAACATACACGAACCGAGTATAACGCCAATCGAAAACCGTAATAAAGTTTCCGTCAGGTAATATTCTTGCGGTTCGCCGTCACTACATTCACCCTTCTCGTTGCAATGCGCACATCCGCCCGGACACCGAATACACGTATAATTTCCGGCATTCGATTCCACATCCTGTCCCTCGAATCCTTGCAGCGTTTGATTTGGCACATAATAACCGAAATTGCACAGGCATGTATACGAACTGCGCTGTTTAAAAGCATTCAAAATCGTATTACCACCTACGGCATTCACGCCACCACCTACACCACCACTTGTCGTATCATTTGACAATGATTTGAAACAAAATGTTGTTTCCGTATCACAGCTGCAATAGAAGCGATAAAGGGATTGTTCAACAATTCAATCATTGTGAGACGCATGTTGACAGACGCATTTTCATTGCAATTTGTTTTTCGTGCGACGACTCACCTGTGTTTTTTCCCAAATATTGGTTCTAAAGCATCGTTACATGGATCATCATCCGCTGCTATGAATGTGCTGGCGACAGTTCTGTAAAACACAACGAATTGGAATTTAAATAAAATGACGCGAGCATCGTATGCACGTCAAATGTATGACTTACTTGATTCCATTTGCTTGAAAGTTTACACTGAATGGCCAAAGCCATCGTCCCCTTAAAGCTCCGCAGTCGCGAAATGGTGGGCCCCAGAATTGTGCACCTTCACATGAGATGAGTAAAATAAAATTTATTATAGCACAGTAGTTTCTTTACAAATCCTTACACGCTTTCATGGTCTACTTAAAGTTGAAAATTAAAATAGAATTTCAGCTTTGAACGAAAAATGAAAAAGATTTGCCATCTATTCAGATGTTGAATGGTGTACCTTCTGTGTGATTCCATGCTAATCCCAGTTCACGCCAATACGTTCGCAAATATGTGTGATTGTTTGAAACTTCGGGAGCGATATCGATGATGTCTCGAAATTGTACGACCGCCAATTTCAGTGATGGTGCTGCAATTGCAATGGCCAATAAGCCTTCATCTTCTTGCAGCGACTCGGTGGCTATGGCATTCGCTTGGCTTCGTATTTCAGGTGTGATTATGTGCACCGGACGTATTGAATTCAAATAATCGGCTAGTTTTTTGGCTGCTTCAATCGTAATATCGTACGCATCATAGAACTATACGGTGCATGACGACCAATGAATATCGATATCGATGGCAATGCAACGAATCACATGGAAGCAGCGATATAGATGGTCGGGGGAGAAAAGATTAAGTTGAAAAATTAAAATGTGAAATTGATTTCGAAACCTTTTCTACAAAATGAAGATCTATCGTATGTGCTTGGTTGTAAGTCAAGCAGAAACACGCCCAACCATTGAATAAATCAATATCAATTCTTTCGTTTGCCGTTGATATCTAACGCCGTTTCTATATCCAACAGACGAAGAGAGAAGAAAGGAATAGAGAGTCCCGAACCCGGTGAGTCGGAACTAAAATCTTCTTATTGACATTAATCTATCCTCAGTTCAACCATAAAGTGTGTAACATGTAATAAAAGCCCAACACACATCTATATAAATATAGCTATGCATTCACACAAATTAACTGTTCCTTCGACCTCTTTATCCTCGTGCCACAGCAAAGTACATACTTATGGCTGGACCAAAAAACACGCCTTCGGGTAAGCCGCCCAGAGTTGAGCCAGAGAATCAAACCCAAGACCGACAATGAAACGGCGTTGGAATAAAAATCCAGAGAGCACAATATTGATTTGTTGTCATCAATATCATCTTGTTGTGTGTGCCCTGTGCATGGCGTCACCACACACACACACACCAAGTGGATGATGTAAGTGCACAGACACATCCACACATACATATACACACAATATAAAGCCTCTAAATGTCACCGTAAAATTTATTAGCACGCCGAACCGAGTGTGGGAGAAGTAAAAGTCAAGCCACAGTGTAAATGAAGAATAAAAAAGAACTGCGAATGGAATCGGTGTGACGCGCGGTGCGAATTTATTGAAACGAGAAAATAAAAGATTACCATCGATTGTATGCTTACCGGATCCGGTGGAGTTTCTTCTAAAACTTTTGGTTCGCAGCGTTGTTCGGTTGTCTGCTGTTGCGGTTCCGCTGTGATAACGTCGATATTCAATAATAACAATGAAATTGCCGCACAAAATACAACCGACATGGATAAATTGCACGATTTAACCACGGTGGATTGTATGCGAAACCACATCTTAGCAGCACCTTGAATGGTTTTTTTCCTATTGCCATGATAAATTTGCACGTTTACACGACTACGATGACGACGATGACGACGACAGTTATTTGGCTCCACGATATTATCGTTTATTATAGACTTTTGCGATCGTCGTTTTTGCCGATGCCAATGTTCACAATTGCTTGGGCCGTTCTCATCATCACCGCCATCTCCAACAACTGAATCGATAATGACATCATCGGTGTAAAATGTTGTGGATTCCTTCGTTTTTGCTGCTGCTGCTCCTGATGCCACATTGCCATCATCACCGAAACGATTCCGATTGTTTAATGGTAAACAATTACTCGGATGATGGTCCTTGGCAAAACCAACCATCTCACCACCACCAATTTTTTATTGCAGATATGTGTTCAGCCAACATCTGAAAAAAAAAAATAAAAATGAATATAACGTCGAATTACATTGTACACCCATAAATAACTAACTGCCTGCGCCTACAACTGAACGGGTAAAATATACGTGTGCACTGTGCATCGCAATAACGGTCACGCATATAAAATGGTCTATTCATTACATTTATTGATTGTCGTCATCATCATCCCATCACCACCACCATCAAAGTACAACAGCGAAAAAAATACACACACTCACACAATCACGTCTCGCAAATAATAAACAATGGAATGTCGATTATTATTAAAACTATATCAAAAGGATAGAAAAAATAAACAGCATCCAGCCATTGTTTAGAGCGATAATTACGAAAAACGTATGCTGTGAATGGAAATGGATTTGTGGGCAAATGAATAGAATGATGGAGGAGAGAGTGAGAAAAACCAATGCGATTGAATCGAGGGAGAAATGATCGGATAAATCAATACTGACAATAGAACATAATCACCGTTGGATTTATAACTGCATACATACACACAGAATCCATTTGTTAACGCACCATTTTTACAATTGAATTCAAATATCTTGAAGCATTTTATATGCATTGTCCATGATTTTCCCTCTTGTTTTTCAAAGCGTTGAATTTGTACGACTTCTGCAATAGCAGAGTAGCACACAGAGGCGGGATGAATAGATCGAAAGCGTTGCTGTCAATGTTTGCTCCACCACAATCGCACAAGATAGATTATTGAGCCGTTGGCAACGAACCATTAATTATGACTGAATTGCGTGCGAAGCTTCTGATTATTAGATGTCGAGACTTATAAAAGGAGCCATATTTTTCAAGCTGAAAGGCATTTTATTGATGATAATCATCTGAAAATCATAAATGATGCTCTTACGCGAATCCAATAGCTGTATCCATGGGCTGTATGGGCGTAGAACTGCGCGCGCTCATTGAACACCCATCATGGGCTATTGACATGCTGGTCGAGGGAGATAGAAATCTCCTTGAGCGAGTGCCCATATGTATTTATCTCATTTTATTTGGATTCGGTTGTTTTGTTTTGGTCTTAAGATGTTGATGTTGATGACCGCACATTTCGTTTCGATTGATTTATCGAACAAGCGAACGAAAAAAAAATAAGCGCCTTCGTCGAAAAACTAATTTAATGATCCAACACACATAAAGAGAAGGGCTGCGGTTGCTACTGCCGCCGCATTCGCCTGCGGATGCTCAAAATAAAATTGTTGATATTATTACTTTTCCTAATAAATCACATTAAAGCCGACTCACGGTTGCCATTTGAACCCGAATACAAATGGTGCGCTTTGGACACAATACACACACAAGCACACTAAAATTACCTCCATACGGTGCAACACACGAAAACCACACTTAAGAACTCAATAATGGTGATATAATGAGGTTTTGTGTCGGCATGACATTGCCCCGATTCTTGCATACAGTGAGAAAGTTTCGTGCAAAAAGGAACAGAAAAAGAAATCAATTTCACTCCGAACGAGAAAGCGAACTGTCACTTCAAGACGTTTTCAATAAATACATATCCCGGTGGAGACGAAAACTTTTCACGACAACAAAAAAAAACAATGGAAGAAAATGATAATTCTGTCGAAGTTTTCTTATCGAGCACTCACACACATACTGTGAAAGACACGACAAAAAAGGAGAGAAAGAAAACTTCTCTCATTTCTTTTGAATTTAATTTGATGCAATTGTATAGCCGAGCCGGAACTGCACAAGAATTTATTTGTTGAGTAATCAGAAATGAAGATTTCCACCATGCCAGGAAATTTTGCGAAATGAAATACGATCGTATAAAAAAGGAATTTATGCCTCCGTTCGGTCTCCCCCCCTCTCTCTCTCTCTCTCTCTCTCTCTCGTGTGGGTGTGTGTTTTGTCTTCAATCGAATAAAGTATAGTTTTTGTTTTGTCCAGAAGAACACTTTGGATGATAAAATGTTTACATCTCCATGAGAAAGACAGAAGTATGGTGAGATAGAGTGTTTGTGTCTCATTGCGACTGTTTGAATTGAGTCTCTGCAAAGGGAGCATATATCTTGTGCAACAAAATAATAAGTATTGGTACGGATGAAAAACGGCAAAAGGTCAGACTCAGAATGAATAGTAAAAGCAGCATCGGCAGCAGTTTCAAAAGCATCTCGTCAATAGTATGGTTCATTTTACGTAGGAAAAATAAAATAAGAGCTTGTCCCAACGTTTTCAAGACGTTTACACAAGCGGCAATCAATATTCTCCAGAGAATAACATAATGTTGAATTTCAAGTCCAACCTGCATTTTGCTTTTCGTCTTCTTCGTCGTCATTGTTGTTGTTGTTGTTTTTGTTGTCGTTGTCGTTGTTGTTTTTCGTCCTATTTCTCTTATTCTTTGCGCATTCTGTCTCGTTCTTCCATTAACCATTATTCATCTCGGCCATTTCATTATTTTATGTCCAAAATGTTAGGTAATTTCAGTTGAGCAAGAGAAAAAATGAGCGAGAGAGAGAGAGAGAGGCAGCAAACGGCAACAACAGTAAGAACATCAATGTTAAGAGGATGGAAAATGATTGAGTTTTTCCTTTCTTTTTTTTCCATTTTTGTTGCTTATTTTCTTTGGTGCGTTTTGCGCAAAATTGTGTTATTTCATAAAAGCGACCGAAAATAAAAGTAAGCATTTGCAAAGAGCCCAAAATCGACGCGGTTCGTTGGCCAAATTGAATAACGAAAATGGTTGATTTTCAATCCGAACAGAGAACAAAACACAGCAACAAAATACACACACACGGCCAGCGCAAAATAGAGAAAAGGCCTCGGAAATTGTCGAAGCGGTTAACTTAGTGATCAAAGCGCAAAGGCTGTTGTTGTGCATGAAAGGAATGGCGTGATGAACAAAAAAAAACGATTATTTTTTCGTTGCTTCTCCAATTTTTTTTCTTTTCTTTGTCGTCCTCTCGGCGGGAGTAAAATCAAAGGTGGGATCAAAGTGGTTGTGTGGCAAAGGAAATAGGAGACATTTTTGCTCGTTATTCGTTGTTGGACGTGCGCGCTAATCATTTGTATTGAATCAAACTGCACAACATGACACAATTACGATCAAAATCGATCGAAACTTTCGACGGCCAAGAAAAAGTTATTGGGCATTCAGTCAAATAATCCCTAGCCTGTGGAGAATTATCCCGTTAATCCGACATGTTTATCGAGGGTAGTAAGGCGATGGGGATTCGCCTGTGAATGCTTGCTGCGTGTGTGTGTGTGTAAGTGTGCGTAGTCTGAGACGATGCTTTGCCTCGCGTTCGCATATATATTCATATCCAAATCTATACTATTTATATGGGTATAATACCAAACTGAAAGATACACACACGCACACACAGCATATCGTGTATATTATTATATGCGTATCGAACATTGTATCACGTCGATCGATAAAATTCACATAAATATCTGGAGCTACTAATGTTGATGTTGTTGTTGTTGCTGTTGTACACACAGCTTTTTCACTATCACTCATGCATATTTATTTGTGCTCATTTTGGATATCATTAGAAGTCGACATCAGCCAACATAAGCATCAATAGCATCGTTGACGGATACACACACGCACACGGTCTACCAAGAGCATATTAAGCTACGGTAATGTGACAATAAAGCAGAGAGAGAGCAAAGGGGAAAACTTTAGCTTTTCGTATGAATGTTAGTAGTGACATCGTTGGCAGAACTTGTAATTGTTGTTTCTTATTCACTGTGCCAATCACAAACGTGTTCCATAGTTTTACGACTTTGTCATCCATACGAATTGTAGATGGATATGTATGCTATAGTAGAAGTATGCAGAAATTTTCATTATGGCTTGTTGAATGAGACACACAAGTAAACATATTTGTGTTTCGTGGTTTTCGATCATCATCAGCATCATCATCATCGTCATCGTCATCGACTGAGATGTCTTCACATTGGATATTTGGATATTTGTTTGTAGGTTTGAAGAGGGAGCAAGACACGGGGAGCCACATAGCTTGTATAAATATATATTGTTATTTGCCTGAAATTGAACACAAAATACACACATGCGAATGCCCAACAGAAAGAAAGAGAATAGATAAATGTATTTAGAGGAAATGGAATTTTCAATCTGATTTCGCTCAAAAGTATTTGCATTGATGTGACGTGACGAGCTGTCTGCTGTTAATGTCAGCACTTCACTCGTCGATGTGTTTGGTTGTTTTTTCTTCTGTTAGTATATATGTTGATGATGGCCACTGTGTGTGAGCGAGTCGTTTTTATTACCATCAAAAGTGGGCGAATACACGTCGCATAGTAATTTAATATCTAGTTTAGCGGATGCTATTGCACAAGATATTAACACTACTAATACATATTTGATGAGACACATCAAATACAGATGCACAATTGATTCGAAATTAATCGTGGATTTCATTCATTCATGCATGCCAGTTTCGTTTTGTTCGAAAAACGTCTGCACTGGATTTTTTTTTCATTTCGCACATCAGCCACACACTTTACTCTTGAAAAAATATTTCTCTTTAAAATTCAATTCAAATTGATTTTCAAATCATTAACTGCGAGTTGAAGAATAGGGAAAAAAGTGAAAATGATAAATTACAGCGTAAAACCTGAAAATTCGTCAATGTTCTTTTCAACACGAAGTGGCCGGAGCTTCGAGTTTTGGTGTTGAAAACTATGCTGTATATATGGTTTGAGCATTTTTATTACGTCGTGGGAAGTGTGCAAATCTTTTACTAGATTTTCTCCGAATTCATGCTTCACTAGAGCTTCTTACTGAATTGCATTTTTTTCTCTCTCTCTCTCTATTTTTCGTGCTTTTACAATCTTGTTTGCGATTGACGTTGATCATCACCGACTGAACAGCATGAAGTTTTACCACTATTGGCAAACGATATATATTCTGTTCGGGGAACACTTTACTGGATTAACACACACACGCACTCACTCTCACCAGAACACTAATCCAGAACGCAACGTAA